AGTTTAGCTATTGTGAATTGTACTGCTATATACATTGATGTGGCTGTGTCTCTGTAGTGTGCTGTTTTTAAGTCCTTTGGGTATAGACCGAGGAGAGGGACAGCTGGGTCAAATGGTGGTTCCAGTCCCAATTTTCCAAGGAATCTCCATACTGCTTTCCATATTGTTTGCACCAATTTGCAGTCCCACCAGCAATATATGAGTGTGCCTTTTTTCCCGCATCCTCACCAACACTTATTGTTGTATTCTTAATAGCTGCCATTCTGATTGGAGTGAGATGATATCTTAGAGTAGTTTTGATTTACATTTCTCTAATTGCTAGAGATGATGAACATTTTAAATAGTTGATTATAATGAATATTTAGATACATATTTTAAATTTAATAATTGAATTGAAATCCAGATCTAACAACAGGAAAGTAATACTATTGACATTCAAAAGAGAACTAGATACTAAGTAAACCTTTCTTTCTTGTTAATTCTTTTTAAAATATGTATTCTGATTTTTAGTATCTTATCTGGACAGTTTTCTAGGACTGAATTTTTCACCAGATGTATCTCTGTTGGTGACGATTAACTGATCATGTTGCTTTAATTGAAATTTTACATGTCTGAATGACTCAATGAAAATGTACTAACAGCGGTTGCCTGATTCTTATTTCTGTAAGCATGAAGCTTACTAATTGCTGTAATACCTAAGTATTGGAAAAGACAAAGAGAAGGGGGAGACCCATAATAACAGACCATTTTCAATAATGTTTGCAATTTGTTCTGCCAATTTGCTTTTAAGGATTGGAAAACTGCAGGAGTCTTCCTGTTAACTCTACTTTAATATGTAATTAAAATATCATTTATGTTCCTAAAAAAGGAAATAGTGAATTATACAGGGCATGAATAATTTTGGCTAGATTTCTTAAGAACAGACAAGAAATATCTTTTATTTTAAGTAATAATAAAATCAATTTTAATTCAAGAATTTTTAACTCTTTAAAACAGGATTTAAATCACACATTGTGCTGGGTGCTTCATATGCGTTGCATCTCTCACAGCATGCTCATTCTGTGGATGAGTAAACTGAACCACAAAGTCATGTTAGCAGTGAGTGATGTAGTGTGGATTTGACTCCATGCCTGCTAACTCATGAGCCCGTTGCATCAAAACTTTTAAAAAGTTTCTAGTTTCCCATATTCCTGATATTATATTTTGAAAGCTACTCCATTAATATCATTCATAGTACTTTCCTAAAATGAAGTGTGTATATAAAACATTAGCAGGAAATTGGGGAAAACACCATAATTGCAGGTATCCAATTAAGTAGCTGAGACTTTAGACCATTATGTAATGGTTTTTCTTTTGACTCAGGGGTGTTTTTCTCCTTTACACAGGACCAAGATCAGTAAAGGCAAGCTTGCTTGCCTGTGCTCTTCTGCATAGTACGTCTGTTTCTTGTTTGCTCTTTCCTGAAGGGTATAGCCCCTTAGGTTCTCAAGCTTATATGGGGGATTTTAAGCAAGCCTTAGGTTGTACGTCATATTTCTAATGGTTTATATAGCCATCCGAATTGAAGCTCAGTGTCATCAGACTTTTTCAAATACCTTCAGGAAAAATTCTGGCTTTAGGCTCCCAGGTTTCCAACCCACATAGTCTCACTCTCATTTCTCTATGGCCCCTCTGAATCCTTACTTTCTTGACAGTGTAGCAACTTATTTTGAAATATTTGTAAAAATAATTTACTTAGCATTTTAGCTTGATTTCAAGGTAAGGGTTGTATATCATACTTCATACTGCCAAAAATTAAATTCATTGTATTTCTATTTATTTTTGTTTTTAATAAATTGTTAAAATTTTAAAAAAGGAGAAATCATTGGTATGTTTTTTTCTAAAGAAGTGATTATTGGACTTATAGGTAAGGTTTGATATTTATTTCAGCATTTATGCATATACTCATATAAACACATATTTTCATAAAAATGGGTTTAGCAGGTTTTGTAATTGTTTCTGAGTGTTTTTAATACTCTTTGCTTGATTTAATTTTCCATAATGAGTATATATTACTTTATAATAATAATAAGAGAAACATTAAAATTATTTTGGAAAAAAAGAGGATAATTTTTAAGTAAAAACAAAACTGAACAGTCTGTGTTGAACATGTAGCTATCATGATATCTCATATATATCCTGCCTTAATTGAACAAGGTTTTTTTGTAATAATGTGTTTATAAATAAATTTTCCTGGCAGACAGAAGCATGTTCCTTTCAGCACCAGATTTTATTTCTTTCAGCCATTTCATTGGACCTTGTAATACATACTGGGCATCCTACCTTGTTCCTAAAGCCTGTTAGTGATGAACTATACGGCCCCATACTGAAAACTCCCAGATTGCCAAATAATATAGTAAATCTACTTCATGAACAAAATATGTTTGTAATAGTTTTCTTCCTCACTGTCCCGTCTCTGTAGTAGATTTTCTTAAGTTTCCTTAAATGAGCTTCATATTAGAAATACCAGCTGGAATAGTTATTTGATAAAATAATGCCTACTTTAAAAATTATTATTTTCTTTTTAAGGACAAAGAACATCCAAGATACCTGATTCCAGAACTTTGCAAACAGTTTTACCATTTGGGTTGGGTCACTGGGACTGGAGGAGGAATTAGCTTGAAGCATGGGTAAGTTTCTGGCTGGCTCATCTCCGGGAATTTTCCATATGAGTAGAACACAGGGAGCCTAATGTGGTATGTCCAAAGAACAGCTAATGATAAGTTCTATGTGATAGTGAAAGTATTTCATTTCTAAATTATCAAATGGCTATTTGCATAACTAAATGGAGCCGGTGTGCAGAAATAGTTATAATAAATACCTAAGGATTTATGAACTGCAGTTTCTAATCAATTTTTTGTCCTCAATCCTTGGAGTACCAAAATTAGATTATGTTTTGCAAGTATGTTCATATGTCTGGAATTATAAAAAATACTTTCTAGGTAGACAAGATTTGTTTCAAATGTTCAGATACTTATTTTTAAATCACTTAAATACAGATTATTAACCATTAAAATTCTAAAGGTTATGCTTTATTGAGTCAAAAGAAAGACCATATGCTAGTCTATGTATCATTATTAATGGAACATAGCACTTGCTGGTCTTTATTCCTCAAGATGTATTGGACTTATCAAATATTGGGCAAAATAAGAGGTATTAGACTTACCAAAACAGAAAGAATAAATAGTTCATTAGACTGTTCATTAGATTTATTCAGTGTCTTTCCTTCAGGAAGATGAAGAATAAATACCTTACTAACAATGAAAATAAAAATTGTGGCACCTAACTTCTTTCACAGGTTTCTAAAATAGAATTAATATTTTCCTCTGAAATATTACTATCTGGAGACTAAATGCTAAGCTGAGTAATTTATTATCCTAATTCACTTTCTTTAACAAAATTGGATTGTTAAAACATTGCTATGCTATTGAGTAAAGATAGAAAGAAAGAAAGAAAGAAAGAAAGAAAGAAAGAAAGAAAGAAAGAAAGAAAGAAAGAGAGAGAAAGAAAGAAATGCCCCCGCCAAGGAGGCTGCATGGCATAATAAGAAACAAGATATAAAATAAATCAGAACATTTTGGACAAAAAGAATTTTATAGCATACCACAAGATGATGATGCCATTATAATTTCATCCTCTTCAAATTACCAAGTATAAAATATTAATATTAGTAATATCAATAATATTATTATTAATAATAATATTCAGAATGCACTCTTTTAGAGTCCAGTAAAACCATGTTCCACATGGTAGCTCTGTATATCCATCTGTGCTGCCCTGTCACTATCATCCCAGTTGCTAATGTGTCAATTCAGCATTGTGCAAGATTTCAGATTATTTTGCCAAACTTTTAAGTTGTTCTGTTACAGCAGGCTCAATGCTAACAGCAATTTTTTCATCTCACTTATCCATTTAGAAGCTGAGTCACAGTAATTTGGTTTTCCCATCATACTATGTATAATAAATCATATTCTAAATGTTGCCTTTAATTAACTACTGTTTGCATGTGTGAAAAGTTTTTGTACACACAAAACAAAGCTGTCTCTCAAAATGAACTGAAATAACCATTTCTAATTGCCTCTTAAAAAATAGTAGAGCTAAAAATGAGGAGAATACAGAACTCAAGAGGGATTTATTTATTTTTTAAAATATTTATTTTTTTAGTTGTAATTGGTCACAATACCTTTATTTTTGCTTATTTATTTTTATGTGGTGCTGAGGATCTAGCCCAGAGCCTCGCGAGTGCTCTACTGCTAAGCCACAACCCCAAGGCTAAGAGGGATTTATTTTAACCACGTCATAAAGACTCTTCTTTCTAGCAGAATTTTACTAATCCATGTAACTGTGGCTGTATGTGGCCACCATAAAACACTTATTGGCACATCTTTTAAAATTAAATGGCTTTCATAGCACTACAATCATTTTATAGGAAAGTTGCATCGTGTGTAAAATACTTTTTCTATAGATTCTTACTGGGTGAGGAGCTCCTCCTAGAGGTCACAGATAGAAAGAGCCACATCTTACGGCACTGTTTGGAACTGTAATACATTTGAGCCTTACAGACTGAAATAGGCATTTTGTGGTAAAAAGTTGAATTTTGCTTCTGATATTTAAAACGACTTCATGAGCTCACATCACTTATTTTGTCAAGAATATCATTCTCAAGTTGTCAGTGATAGTTGATTTTCTTTTTCTGGCTCTTAGGGCAAATAAATTTGGAATGTGTTTTTAGAATAATACTGGCAATAAGCTCTTTGGGAATACAGAATTGTTGACTGATTATAAGGTTTGGCTAATGTCATTCCAGCTTACACCAATGGTGTGTGATATGAAAAGATGTATGTAAGAGGTAGCCTAGGACAGACACAAGAGTTAAATGAGAAGAAAAAAATGGAGGACTAAGAAAACAACAGTAATGTGGGTGATCACAGGATACTCTTCCACTGTTGTGTTCAGATTGAGTCCTCACCATTCAAATTTAACATTTCCTATTTTCACAGTATAGTATTGATCGGTGTAAGACATACCAATCCTGTTGCTCATTAGTAGGATTACAATTTAGAAATCCATATCAGAGATGAAATCATTGAGTCATAGTAATATCTTAATGATTTTTTGTGAACAGAGAATAAATAAAAATAGAAGTAAGTGAACATGATCTATTATGAATTCTTGGAGTTTGTTTCTCTGTTTATCATACAGTGAAAAATCAGGGAGTAGAGAGAAGTAAATTCCAAAACTTAATAACTTAAAATTCAAGATGCTTTTCATGTGTGGCTTATAGTACCAAGTAAACCCTCACTGACTGTTTGGCATGTTTCTCTCCGAAAATAAAAGTTCTGTCACCTTTGTATTTATCCAAATATCTCTTTCTTTGTTAATGTGTTAGATGTTAATATGTTTTTGTCTAAAACCTGTTTAGCTAATTGCCCAAAGTTGATCAAAGTCTAAATTGATTTCAATTTAACAAAGGCAGTAATAAAGACAGACTTGGCTTGACAAATCACTTAAATAAACAGAATAAATGCCCCGGGTTTTCCTGTGTCATTGATGGATTTTGTTTACTAGCAGGCCATGTTGTACTTTATTTTGAGTCTGTTCCCAGGACTGCATAAAATTCTTCCTGCACCAAAGATCTATGAATCCACTTACCTGTGGACTCATCTCCTTACCTGTGCAAGTGAGTAGATGGCATACTACCCATGATTCTAGATTTCTTTTGTGTTACACAAAGACAAAGGTTTTAAATAACTGTTATTTGCAAAAGGCCCCTTTTAACAGTAATTCTGGAAGAGTGCCCTCTGTGTCATCCTGAGCAGCAGAGCTCTAGAACATTAGCTGCTTCATGAAAGCTAATGCATATGTGCAGCGTACTGTGCATAGGACTTCACTCAGATTATCAGGCATTGATTTTCTAGACTTAAATTTACCAATGGAGCCCTAATTTCACCTTACATTTTCGTTAGCTTCAAATCAACAGGTCAGCATAGACCCTCATCCTCACTATGAAGCATTTAATATTCATTGAGTGTCCATATGTCTGTTCCTTAGTAGCAGAAGCATCAGGTGCTGGCATTTCCTTGGTTTGCATTTATGTGGCAGCTCATTAACACTCTCCAGCAGCAATTGAAACTGGCAAGTGAGCTAAAGAACTATTGTATAATGTGGAAGGAATGTAAAGAAGATTTTGAAATTAATTTGCAAATCAAATTTGAGAGTTTCTTGTGGACATTCTCAAAGTCTAAATTGATTTCCATGCATGTGTGCAGCTTACTGCTACACTATCTTCCTTAGCACCACATCCTGTAGTAGAGATCTCTGCATGTAGCCATTCTTATATTTTTAACCTTTTGCATTTGTTTTAGCTTCATTACCAATTATTTTCCAAGATGCATGTGCTTTTCAAATAGAATACACTTCTATCCAAGACACTGTTATGCTGTAATTTAATAACCTGCCCAGCAGAGGTCTCTGAACTTCATGGTTTGTAATAAGTATTTCAAGCAATAATGTTAAACTTGCTGCTTTGCATGCAGAAATCTCCTGTTGAGTGTATTTTCCTCTGATTGTATTTTAGAATGA